TCTTGTAAATTTGACAACGTCGCGCAATTTGGATGCATCAATAGATTTGAAACTAGGGGCTACTTTTAAAATTCTGCTATGGAATCACAGCATTTAATTTACTGAATGCTAATCATGATATGAATTATTGTGCACATATTTGAAGGAATAATATAGGTATTTTGAAGTATCATATTTTGAAGATACGTGATATTAGTGTGCTGATCCAAATTTATCCGTACGTATTAGTAAAATCGGAGTATCTTTTTGTAAAGTCCAAAAATATTACACTAGATGGCGGTAGTTGCACAATTTTAATTAGTTTTTTTTTAGTTTTAGCTTATGAAGATTGAATCAAGGGCCGGTAATTAGATTGTTTTTGTAACTAAAGCATATATAAAGTTAAAATTATAAAGCGAACGTACTGAAAGAGAAAAGTTTCGTACTGTAAAATAATAACTTTTTGTAACCTTCATAAAATAATTTTCAATATTGTCGCATATGTTTTATATATTTGGACAATCTGGAAGTTCTTATGGAATTGCTTCAACATAAGAATAGTGTAGGTTTGTATTAGTGACAGTCGCCATCGTATCGTCATCGATAAAATGAGTATTGAACTTTTGCAGCGCCCCTATCGGGCGTAAAGTACACCAAAACTCTCTTACTCATTTTGACATAATTTACCATGACTCTTAACGTATTTTTATTAATGCATATGTATTATTTTTCAATGGAAAATAACAGTTGTTTTTCTTAAACTTACATAAACGCAATAACATTTTTTAATCTACTGACTCATAAGGGTATTAAATTTTTCGCATGTATGTTTTTAATGTATGGGATTGTACGATTCATTTTGATTTCCTGTAACCTAAACGACAAAACCAATTTGAACTTGTGAGGCGTCATTGAATTCGTATTTTTCGCAGAGTGACATATGTGTTGATAAGTACATAGTGTGTCTGACATTTAACAGTCATTTTGATTATTAAAAAGAATTACATAAAAACGAATATTGTAAATATTTTAACAGCAGTTAGACTTAAGTAACAGGAGATTCTTATCCAGCAAATACAACTCGTAACGAATAGCAAACTGGACTACCTCTCTAGCGGTCGTGTGTATGAATCCCTCAATTCGTGTGTCGCCGTAAACCAAATCCTCTTCGAGCTTATTTGGAATGGTTACATAAAATTCTGAAAGTGACTATTTTGAAAAAAAAAGAGTAATACAATTTTTAATTAATCACACTTAATAAACTTATTAAATACAATAGATTATTAAAGTTTGCTATCTGACTTTTAACGATTTAGATCTTAAGCAGATTGTTAAATGTCAAAATATTTTTTGTTCCCCACAAGTTTAAAATAAAGATACATGGTTTAAACTATATTAAAATAAAATTATTCTAAATGTCACCTGTGTACACCTTGCACTCTTATGATACTTGTTTTCTGTGTTACGGTCAAATAATTTGAATTAGTTAACATTTCCCGGGAGCTACCTGGTTTTTAGAATTTTAAATATGTTAATACATCTTAAACCTATAAATCTAAAACAATGTAACATTTCGTCAAATATATTCGGCTGATATTGTCTCATATAGCAAGTAATAGGTACTACGCAGAATCAATCTCAACGGCTACATTGATCTCGCTGAAATTTGGCAACATAGTCTTTAAGAACACATAGGCTACTAATTACCCCTTTTTTCATGCCAAGCGGACAGAGTCGAGGGCGGGAGCTAGTTAAAAATAAACTTGTAAATGAGGTTTTTATAATTTTAATTTTTATGTTAATAGAGTCAAATAATGCTTTTTGTTAGTTTGTCCGCTAGGAATTAAGAAAAAAAAAACCTAACTAGTAGCCTACGTGTTCTTTCAGACTATATTCTACATCTATGCCAAATTTTATCAAAATCCACTGTACCGTTTTAGAGATACTTTCGAACAAACATACATACAACATTCGGATTTATAATATTAGTAAGATTCAATATCACATAATTGTAACACGCTTACTTTATAACATTGATTTTCTGCTTTCACGGCGTAAAAACCTTTACAAAAACATTTCTATCTACTTTTTATCCTAGAGAATGACAGAAATGGCACTATGTTGTTGCAAAGATATTTCGGCAGTGCAAACCACGGTTAACATATAATTCTTATAATATAGCGCTTTGTTCGAAAGTGCAATCTTCAAATAGGAAAAATAAAAAAGTACAATAAAAAAAATTGTACCCAGAATTTGTCGGCAAAATCATAATATAAATAACTAAGCAGAATCAAAAAACAAAAATTGCAGTTATTGCAAATGGGCCTAATAAGTAATATTATAAAAAGTAAAAGACGATAAGAAACCCGTTTACTTTTACTGGTAAAATTCTATACTTTTTTTTGCCTTGTTCCTTGTATCTATCGGCTTTCTAGCTGCCAATAAAATGTCTATTGTGTAAAAATTCACTGCAACAGGGTGTTAGCGGCAATTCCTGGAAACTTATCTACTTCGTACAGAGTGGCATTGTTTTCGTGTTCACAAATGAATGCATTCATTAAGTTTTATTGCACTAGCTGCGACTTATATTGTATTACAAATATTAAATAAAGATTATAATATTTTATCTTGAAATTGCTTACGCTATTTTTATTTTCCATATTTTTGTTTCATTCCGGGATAAAATAAAATTTAGGCTAATAATTATAAGTTTATATCTTTTTAGCATTTTAAGCTAAATTCGTAAAGTTAATCTTTTAAAAGTTTTTTACTTTGAGAAATAAAAAAAAATCGTATCAAAATGCGTAAGTGTAAAATTTCATTAACAATTCCAAATATTTTTTTTTAATTGTTGAGGTATTAAGTACTTAAATAAATATATATCTACCTAGAAATCGTAAATGATAAATATAGTTAACTATTTTATACTTATTATTGCAAGTTAGAAACTTTTAAAATTCTAGTAGTTGCCAGTGATTTCATCCGTGTGTTCATGTTTGTGTTCCTGGAGACTATGTTCTATATCTAACCCAAATTTCATCGAGGTCCGTATATTCATGCTGAAGATACCTTCTCACAAATATCCATCCATCTTAACGTCCTCATTTATAATGTTAGTAAGAAGTAAGATATATAAAAATATATATACAATGTGATCATTACGAATTAACCCAAATAAAACGTATAGGTGAGATAATTGTTGATTAATTTTGAGTGTGCTCCTAATGAAAGTTGGTAAAGTTTGGCGTTGTGTAAGATGTTGTGTTTACACTCCATGTGCCTCGTAAAATATCATGAATGATACAGTTCGCGGCGAGGGATTAACACTTTGTTATTAGGCCACTTTGCCAGCTATTACGTTCTAACTGGAAGTTTTATTACGACTTTACGAAAAAAAGAACTATTTACCCATGTGCGTGTGTATTTTTATCTGCGTCAAAATGATAATTGTTATTTTAATTTTGCGTTTGTAAATTAACTTCTTTATTTTTTATTATATCATAAACATACTAGGTACACAGAAATGTGTATGTGAAAGACTGAATTGAATAATTCGGTGATACATGCTTAGGGATAACTCCTACATTTTGATGGTCATTATAACTTAGGTGAAATTAAACATTTTTTAGGATGCAAAATTATTTATTTTACTTAACTTTCCACTCATTAACGCAAATAAAGTGTTTTTATTAAACTTCATTAAATAATAAAAATTCTGAAGCAGGTAATATTCATTTCTTACTTTTTTATTTATTTGAAGGTTCCAACACATTTATTTATTTTTTTGTTATCAAAGCTTCAGGACACTATAGTGTGACTCAAACAAATCATTCCTAGATTCTAAATGTGGTGTCTATACATTATTGTTCGGATAGATATACCTAAATATTTTTAACGAAAATTTTGTTGTTGCATTTATAGAAAAAAAATGTTTGTTAAATTTAAAGGGCCTAGATAATATTAGTAGGAAGTAAGGGAGCGAATGTTAAGTGGCGAGGGGAGCGGACGTTGGAGCGATCGGTATAGTCCGAGAAAATCGATTTTCCACCCCTCATAGTTTGCATGGCCTGTCCGGTCGAGCTACGCACTTTTCTTCCCTTAGAGAAATAAAAAAGTTGTATTTTGCCTCGTACGTACTATTTTATTGAAAGTTATTTTATAATAAATTTTTATTAAGAAAAATCTTTATATTGTTAATAAACAATAAAATACTTACTTTATATATTATAATATGTACGTTTTATCTTAGTCTTAGTCTTTTTTAATTTATGGTGGTGTAGAGTATAAGTCTCACTATTATGGTCGCGTCTAAAAACTTGATTCTTAGCGTCTGTTTAATGAATATGATAATGAAGTAAAAACTGAACAAAACATTTAATTGAAAATTAGAAGTAAACATGTACATTATTTGTTTAATCCTTGAATTCATTTTATAACAGGTTTAAGTATTTTAATTTAAAATTATTAGTGTTTACGAACCGCTCCAAAACAAAGAAGTGAAGTTTTGCATTTTTATGTCTACAAAGTTCACAAAAACAGTATTGTATATTTTCAAATAATAGTGAATATTAATAAGTAATATCGTTATCGTGGAAGCGCAGCTATATTGTTTAAGATTTTCGAGCGTGCAGTGTGCAATTTTGGAATTAATACAAACTCCTTACAATTATTTAAAATGAGATTTAAAATTTAGAAAATTTTGTCGAAGGGTCGGTCCGCCCGCATCGTAAGGGTGGGTGATATCGCCGTCCCACTCGGACGCAGCATCACCGGACATTTCGACCGGGCATTTCAATTTTAAGAAAGAGTAGGGTCCGTCCCGCGCACACCACAGCACCCCCTCCCCTCGCCGTTGCTGTCTCGCTCGCACGGACGACTAACAAAAGGACGCAAAAGCGATAACTTCATCACCACGCGCGGCTCTCTCTCGCACTTACATATCGGTGGGGGACGACGTTGCGAATTGTTATTGAAGTCATGCCCCCGAAGGCGACTTCGGGAAGGCTGTCAGTTGCTTGTAAACGTTCGTAGCGTCCGTACCTGGCGACTGACCCGCGTTGCCGGTATAGCGCCTCTACTACCACTACACAACACATTGTGCTTCGCGTGCGTAAACAAGTGCCAAGTTTAAATAAAAATAATAACTCTGTGATTTTGTTAATTATAGACATTTTTGTTTAATATTAAATTACAACTCGACAATAAATTAACATGGACAATAAAGAAGGAACTTTCCGTCTTTAGTAGATAAAAGTGAACATTTTCTTAAACTATTAAGAACAGTTCCCGGGCAAGTTTTGAAAAGTTTATTACGGAAGTGTAGTGTGCGGGTCGTTAGTGTTTACAGCGCGCACGTGGCTACGGCGAGCCGCTCGCCCGCGGTGCAATGCCGCCAAAAACTTTCTTCGTAAACATCGCGGTACTGTGAACGATATCGTGAACCAGATAAAATAGCGACCATGACTTTATTCTGCAGAGACTGATTCATGCCTCGACTACATGCAAGACAAAACAAAGAGTGTGGTTCTTTTATTATTTTTTTTTCGTTGGAGGAGACGGAGTTCTCCTACAGATTGATGGTTTAGATGGCTAACAGCAGTGCCGTAACTTCGACCTTACCATCGAGAGACTATCACTGTAAGGTTTGCGATTTATATTTGGATACTCTCGATTCTTTAGAAGTGCATTTGCAATATCACAAAGAAAATTTATACGTAAAGTGGGGAACGCAAAATTCGCAGAATGATACGGACAATAACAACGGAACTAAATTAAAAGTTGAAACAACAGTGTCGGCGCCCGCCGATTCCAGTGACAATATGATCACTAAGCCAAGTCCAGAGTTCCAGCAGCGGGCTACGCCCGAAACATCGGCTCAGTTCCCGCACCCAGCGACACCGCAGAGCTATCACAGTGCACCATCGCCCTATCAGAATCCAGACCAAACTAACTTCTCACCAGGACATCAATTTGGTAATAATTATGCACATTCTAATTTTTCACAAAATCAACACGCAGAGCATATCTCGTGGGAGCAAACGCAATATAATCAAGACTATCACAAACCAGGTCGCTTCCATCCATATAACATGCAAGAACGAGTTTCACAAGTATCGTCTTCTAGCCCGCTTTATGGACAACCTCTTAATCAACCAACGCCATCGCCTTCGCCTAATCAGTGCGATAAATGCGGGTTTGTTTGTGACTCTGCCGTTCAACTCAATGAACATTGTAATACGGCACACGCGGGTTCCAGCTCAGCGACGGCAACGGGAGCTCTGCCTTTTCAACAATTTCCCGTAAAACCATATAATAATTCTGGATATCAAAATGAAAGTATTAAGGTTAAGGAAGAGCATGAAGAGTCTTCCGATATTTTGGATTTAGACTCGCAAAAAGTTGTATACCAAGGAAATGAAGGAGATCAACAAACTGTGACATACGAAGAACCGTCTTCACAAGGACGCGAAATTAATACTCGCACTGTTCCTATGATGCCATGGGAAACACAAAAGTTGTATAGTAACCCCCAGTTAAATGGAGATGTTTCACTTTTTAAAGAGCAAAAAATGTTTGGAGAGCAAAAGCCATATTCTACAGATACCAAAATGTTTCATCCGGATCCAAAATTTTCTTATGGACAAGACAAGTTTCTCAACGTTCATCACGATCAAAAAGCATTTATGCATGTTGAACAGAAAATATATCCTGGAGTTCAGATGCCTCCTTTAACTGATTATCCGGGTCAAGTTGCATCTTCTAATTCCGATATGAAGCCGCCATACCGTCCGTATGATTCACCTACTGTACCACAGATTACAAGCACACAGCCGGCTAATCCTACGTCATCGGCATTGCCATCGATTGGTGGAAAGGGCGCAAATTGGAAGTCAAATGAAGCAAGAAGACCAAAAACTTACAACTGCACTGCATGTAACAAATGGTTTACTAGCTCCGGACACCTTAAAAGACATTATAACACGACGCTTCATAAAAATGCTGTCAGGTCATCTGGTCAACCAGATCCAGCTACAATGCCAATATCAAGCCATCATCATCCCAGCCGTGACGCACTTCAAGCAAGGGCGCAACAACAAAGCGCTGACTCAAACACCCAGAGTCCTGTTCCCTCTGAAGATAGTCGCAGCGTCGATGATGCCGTTTTGCAGTCGCCGTACGCATCTCAGAACTTCGAGCGCTCCCACCGTGTCGCCACAATGCAATCTAAGTCACCGTATACACATCTACAACAGGGTAATTTAGATAATAATTTCAGTAATAATCCTCTAGCTAATCATCCTTTACAGCATCAGGTTGGTTCACATCCCATTAATATGGGTAATCAACCGCCAGGCATAGGTCATCCTAGCGATAGTAATCACCCAGGTTCGAAAGGCGCTCCTATTTCATCTTCAGGGAATCCCCCAAACGGGGAAGCAGGTCCCTCTGTTTCTCAAAATCACCATATGAGGGGCCTGCTATCAGTGTCAACCAGCAATATTTCAACGCCAGCTCTAACGCAGAATACCCCGGCGCTTACAGCCCACACGTTGCCGCCGTTCAGCCATTTGGGTGTCAACCCATACAGCCCGAGGTCTACGGATCCTTTGGGACCTTCAGTACCGGACCCCACCCACACCCCCTTATATTTGGGTCAGAATTTTCAGCAGACTATAGCACCGAGCTACCCAAACGGGATGGCCCCCCACGTTATGGATATGGCTATCAACAATCTGCCTATAGCCAATCCGGCTACTTTTGGTGAAAACACACCTGAAGAAGTCGAGGTTATGGAACAAGAAACGTCGAGTCAACCTGCCGGCGGACGCTTGCCAAGTTTCGCGCAGCTCCAAACGCAGAGTTTCAGCGTTTATGTTTCTAACTACGTCTCACAGCCTAACGTGGGGGGTCAAGCTGTTTCTGATGAGTCGACCGCCGGTTACATTATTGTAGACCCGGTCCACTCTCCATTACAGTATAACAATATGGAAATTTGTGGGCAAAACATGGATTACGAATATAACTTTTCACCGAGAGCATCTAAAGAAAACTTGATTAACTATAATTCGGAAAATATAAAAGTATATCCATACGGATACGCGGTAGGAGGTAAAACAATAAAACGGGACGACGACATTCTACGTACCGATTCTAGCGAGCTTCAAATATTAAAAATAGAAGATATAATGGATTATGCTAATAAAGAAAATTACGGTGCCCAAATGAAATCGCCTGCGAGTCCTGAGAGCGCAAAAGCTGAGAACGAGAGTCGCGGCTCTCCTTCTATAACGTCGACAGTGTCGAGCACTCCTCTCGCTGAACGTAATCAGCTGAAAAAGTCTGGACCGGCCACGGTGCACAAGTGCTACGAATGTGACAAGTTCTTTAACAAGGCTTGCTATCTGACGCAGCACAATAAAACATTTCACTCGGGCGCTAAGCCATTTAAATGTGACCGGTGCGGCAAACGTTTCTCTGATGACGTGTCTTACGAGGGTCACTACTTAAAGCACGCAGACAATAAGCCTTTTAAATGCAACGAGTGTCCGAAGTCTTTTAACCACAAGACAGATTTGCGCCGACACATGTGTCTGCACTCCGGTTGTAAACCTTTCGCTTGCGACCATTGCGGTAAAGGATTTATTAGAAAAGATCACATGGTGAAACATGTTGATATTCATATTAAAAAGAATCTTAGGTCGTCCTCATCGTCGGTATCGTCAACATCGTCGACTTCATCATAAACATATCATACTTACAATTTCGATCACATAGCATCAATAAATTCAAAGTAGTATGCACATATCATTTATTTACCGATAGTAGATAATCGAATAATTGTTTATTATCATATACGACTAAATAAATTTACATTATTACATTGGTAGCTCGGTATGTTATTATGTGTATGTTATTCTTATTAAGGCTCAACTCCAGCGCACGCATTCAGACCGCCGGTTCGCTTTTTTGTTGTTCATTCAATCTAACCTTGTCTTCGATGCAAGGTGACTTTATGTGTCTGGGTGTCTGGGCGCTAAACATATAATTACGTGACGTCGGAGTAAAATTCCGCGATATTGTTTAGAACGATCCATATCATTTTTATGTTATTATAATTAATAGCGTATATGCATTGATGCAAACAGCGGTCAAGCTCCGTTTTAGGTCGTTCTAGTAACTCGACCTTTACCATTCAATTAGGTTTTTTATTTACGCTTCGTAAATCCTAGAAAAGTTTAATTTTAGATAAATGCTGTCTACCTAGAATTGTTAATGTTAAACGAGTGATTGGTGTATTTTAAAGTATACTTACCATTAGATTAATTCATGTAAATAATTGAAATTTGGGACTTAACTGCCAGACATTATATTAAGTAATTACCATTGAAATACTGTTTCTATTTTAAATATTTTCTATATCGATATTTTACCGAAATAATTGTTTTGTGTAGTTTAAACAGAATGTTTACAATGAACTTTAATTATACTTGTAAAAAAGAACTTATTAAAGACGATACATGAAATTTATAATTTTAATAATGAAGTACCGATTTATGATGATTGTAAGTGATTATGTCAAATCGGTTTTGCCCAAAAAGTTGATAGGATATATGTAGGGCAATCGATTGCCGTCTAAATGGACAATGCTTATGGTAGCGTGGATTATGGATAGTGGAGACAAGCAGCCGCGCGCGCCGGTTTCGGCTCCGCCGAGGTTACAGCGTCCCGTCGACCGCGCCCTCTAGGAAGTGTTATGTTTTTGTTCTAGATGTTAATCCTGTAATTGGTTATTACTTTATTAATATTTTCCCGGTGCTTCCTATTATTATTTTGTCTGTTGACATTTGTTTTAACTTTAAGATAGTTAACTTCTTTGGGATTCTGAAAAAAAAAAGATTTTTTTTTCGATAATTGAATAATTTATATCAAATTTCTAAGTTACCATTGCGTTATTTGACGAATTTAGTTATACATTCCTGTTTCGTTAGTGGTAGGAAAGTAGTCTTCCTGAACGTTGCCAAATTAGTTCCGCCAACTGTCTGTTGCGACAAGATATAACTTTAATTTTTAGTCTAAAGATAATAAAGTTCTTTAGCAATAATTTAAAAAATAATGTAAATGTTTTTGTATAGTATTAATGAAATTAACATGAATTACGGTATTAAAACCACGTAGGCATCGTTTTCAATGAACTTGTATATATTTTTATGGAAAGGTCGATAAGTTTGCTGTATGATGGAACATATCAACGGTCTTGAAAGTGTTGAAGTTGCAAAATGTCTCCGTCAGTTATATGCGATAGCAATTGATAACGTTCTACGTAGTATAAAATTATATCAATAGAGCACTCAATACTCATTATCTGGGCAATCACACTCACATATAACTCACGGAATATTTTGTTCCAGTTTAATTTACAATAACCAATGTCCGATGTGCTGTGTTTGTGCCGAAACTTATTCACTTAAATATATGTGCAATATGGACATTGTATTGATTTAATTTTTGATAATGGTTGTATTTTAATGTTGATTATATTGCAGAAATATTTTTATACAAATAGAATTACACTAACAATATTGATCTACCTCATCGGCGACTATACCTATATCAATTAATTAAATATACACAAAGTTTAAGATATTTGGAATCGAGTAATAAATGTGGGCGTAAGTCAGAAATGTTAACTTGGCCCGTCATTTATTTTGAAATAAATATTAAATAGTTATTTAAAGAAGATACATATTGGTACATTCACTAAACAGCCTGTGATGTTGATGAATACGTCAGGATATCTTGCCGAATCATATCGTCGTCTATTTTTAATGTATACACATATCATATTATATACCTTTTTATGTAAACCAATGTCTCACTTCGACATTTACAGAGCTGTTTAACCAATATCAAATATACTGGGAATTTTTTAAATGACCCATATAAAAGTATAAAGTAAAATAAATATAACTATATTGTTGAGAAAATTTTTGTAAAACAGAAATATTTTCTTCATAGCAATAACGTGACAGAATATATTATGAAACTTAACTACCTCAAGTAACGAGTAATAGGACTAGAAAGTGTTGTAAAGGTGCGCCGCTGGGTGACGCTGGCGCCGTTTCCATTACTGAAACTAAATACCTCAACTTGCCTTTCGTGTTTTAGTTAAAAAATAAATTAATATTTAATGATGGCGCGCAGGGCAACACGGCCACCCAATTTTTTCATATACATATATTATAGCGGACATATTTGTCTCCTCATACAATGTTGATTGCAAACAATGACGTAGTAGTATTCAGTTAGATATTAAAATATTGTAAATATAAAATAACGATGAATTTTGTTATTTATCATATTCTATTATTGTATTCATCGATAGAATTATTTTAAAATAAGTTTTAATGTAGTGATTTCAAGTTTATAACAATAGATGATAAGTATGACATAAGTATTTTGTGATTTTACGTTCTTGTATATTGTATTAATTTAATTATCAGTTACCACATCATATCTGTTAAATTCAGTTGAGTAAATTTGAAACAGACAAATACGATTAGATGTTGTTTTCTTTATATTATTCCCTCGTATAAACGTAGTCCGTATACATTGCGGTAACGTATAAGTCGTTTTATTGTTTACTTTATTGCATTTTATAATATTTCTTTATAGTAAGCGTAGCGAAATTAATTAATTCTAGGCTTTACTTCGATGAATGTATCAGTTATCATTATAAACACTATTTCACGTTACCAGTACTTCAACGTTATAATATAAAATTATAAGACAATTTGAATGTTTTCTGTGACATCGAAGTTTTGCCTAGAACCTTTAGGATAAGTTTTGACTATAGTTTATCCTAGATCTAGGCGACAGATCTGTCACATCTAGGGCGAAATAATCTATAACAACTGCTTTGCGTTGATGTGTTCATGTGTGTTTAATACTCTCTACGCTTGTAAATTATCTTACATAATTACGCAAGTAGAAAGTTACTAGAGATTTAACATTTACAACACATGAACATATCTTATGATGCGAACATTTGCCAATGCGATTTTGTTTAAAATTAAAATGTACTTTTTTAATTTGTTAAAACTTTAATGCAATTATTTGTGTTTAATTGACAATTTTTATCTTTCAATTCTTTGCGACGATTGTCATTATATAAATGGTGTAATGAAATACACAAATAATTGTATTAAATTTCAATATTGCCCATCTAATAATTATTTAATTTTAATACAGAAATGCTCGTTTCAGATCTGTCAGTTAATATATATTTAATGTGAAATATTCTTGTTTTATTTCCCTTCCCCGGCTGCCATTTGCGAAAGTACAGCTAAGCTATGATGTTTTCTGATTTATATTGCTTGAAAAAATATGACTGTTATTATCTTTAAAACTTATTTTTAACTTACAAGTAATCGATCGTACTATATTTTTAAAAGACTAATTATTGTAAAAAACTATATATAAAGTTTTATGATGATAACAGTCCCAAATACTCATGTGTATTAATTTCAGATTCATGTAATAACACGAATACAAGTCCTGATTTTTTTTATTATTAACACTCTTGACGAAATTAGATGTCACAAACACAACTCAGTTACACAAAGTGGAGTGAAAGGTGAAAAAAGGAGGAATACCTGGCTAAGTATTACATTTAAAATAAAACGATCTCTGCATATTAATAGCCTACATACTTGCAGGCTTTTATCCTGACATCTCCCATCTTAATTAATTATATATATAACTGCAACCTTTTAACCAAGCTTTGGATGGTTATTTAATTAACTTCAAAATAAATCTAGTAATACGAATAAAATTTCCCTTTTTAATTCTGGAGTTTTACCAAATTATTTCCTTTATTAATATTCAAATTATTAAAAAAAAACAAAATTAGCTATTTATATAAGGTAAATTAATCATCCATATTTAATTGAAATATGAAAAAGTTAGTTAAATGTTTCAAAATAATTTCTATACGAAACACTCTATATTCCAAGAGTCTCTGTCAGTACTACGTATTTTGTTTCATCCATCTTTCGTATTTTGTTGCATCGTGTAAAAGACATCAACGAACACGTTTCCCTTTATTCCAATAAAAATACCTACCTACTATCGTAATATTACTTCTTCCATGACATAAACCTTTTATATTTAATGTATTAAATTAATTGTACCAGATTTAATAAAACCCAATTTTAAAATATTGTACGTTCATGACATTATTGCAATGTAATGAAATTAACCATAGTAAAGAATTTTTTTCTAAGTATCGTTAAACTTCTGGAATGATTTATATAGTACTAAGGAGTAAATGTTTTGGATATTTTCATTTTGTTTAAAAATCTCCTAACGATTAGATAAGTGAAGTAAACTAAGCTTAATAAAAACTAGACTCTTATGAATTAAAAAAATACAGTCTTAATTAAAAGCTATAGACTTTAGAATAAAAGCTGAACTTATGTTCTACCTAATTTAAAAACATGAATCATGATGGTTGAGACCTTTGTTTAAACATAAATTTCGAATTTACATTAAGATAAATAATTTTGACCTACCCCACCTGTAAATCTATGTTAAGTATCAAAATTGACAAGCAGACCACATAACTATACTTCTATATTCATATATAAGGGTAATCCGAAATCATTTGATGTTAAGTGATGTTCATTATAAGCAATCGCATGACATTTTAGACCTTTCATGAGAGAGAACTGATTTTTTTGCTGATGTCCATGGGCGTCGTTGTACACCTCGGTGTTCGCGCTGCTCGTTTGAATATAACATAAATAATAAGAAGTAATAAGCATGTAACCAGTATGCATGAAAGGAAATGGAGGCTGCTTGGTATACAAAGTTTCATTAAGGAAGACGTCTACTATTGACCAGTGATCCAGAGGAGAAGACATAAAATTCAGCTACTGGATACCACATCACAGGTTTAGCTAAATGGTAATGTATTTAAAAGTAATTAGAAATAATAATTTATTTTAGATAGCGTTATTTGTAAGTTATCTAAGACATTTTATAAACGCCAAGTGAAACTTAGGTTCACCAATACCAATCTATCCTCTAGACAACTTGACCTATAAAACAAAAGAAACTTTATTTTAAAAAATAAACCAAGAAGGTTCTTGAGTAACAAGACTCGGCAGTGATTTAGAGAACGTGTCTGTCTCAATTCTACCCTAGACAGTAGCTGTAACAAACTTAAAAATCCCACTTTCGACCCCAACCTTACAAGTATGAGTGTCTACTACCGGGTACGTTAGGCAACTCGTTTACTGCTAAAAAATATATGCACTTAAATACTATCAAAATGAAAATGCGTTAGTAAGAAATAATAAACATAAGTCAATATGGTTGTCGCCCAACTGTTTAAAAACCAGTAGATTTTGATCAAGCTTTGGTTTTGAAAACAGTTCATTTAAGAACCTTTTTGTTATTTTTTAAGCGCATATAACCTAATTATTAAGGGTATGAATTTAGAAACACGCAGTAGAGGTTTCGAATTATAATCGCTATTCTACTGTTGTTGTGAGCCATCCTTGCACAAGCCTTAATAGCTTAGCTTAACTGGAACCCTACAAGATATATTAGTAAATAAACAAAAATCTGATAGTATTAAAAAAAAACTTTTTTAATTAATAATTAGTAATTAGTTTATAAACTTCCTTTTAATATTATTTTAACTTAAGTATTACGACATGTCGGGATCAGCTAGTTGTATACAAAAAAACAACCAAATTACATAAAAGAAAATTTACATTCAAGGCAATTACGACGAAAGACTAAATATAAAATGTTACACGTCCCCACGAGTTACATACGCAGCGAACTAGTCTGTACGTACGAATGTATAGACGTAGTTAGTGTTTAGGATGCTGGTTTGAAAGCGAACGCGATCGAAACCAAGCTCGGATAACAGCGTGGATCGGTCGGCCGGCGCGACGACCTACACCGGTTTCGCTTTCGTCCGAAGGTCAAGACTGAATCAGAACGGACGCGTGCCGTACTTCGCGCCGCTGTAATGCGCTTATCGACATCGACACATTTCAAATTTATTTCAAATATATCGATATAGCCTGGACTAAATATTTTACATACTTTTTATTAGTTACTGATAAAAATTAAGTAATTTGTGTAATAATAATCATAATTATATAATGCTTTCGCAGATTATTCGTAAAATAACATACGGAAGTGGGACTCAGAAGTGATTCGTTACAGGAAACTAAGAAATATTTAATACTACTTTAAGTGGAATTTTTCAAACTTTCTATTTTGTACACTTCCGGTTTCTTTACCAATACAAAAATCACATTTAAATTTGTCGCGAAAAACAGAAATCGTCTACGTTAGTTAAAATAAAATAAGATTATATATTATAATTATGCTCAGAATCATATACAAAAGTATGTAATTTCTTTTTGCTGATGAAGCAATAAAATAATAATAGAAATTAATTATTGAATAAGACACGTAAAACATAATATCGATAATTGAAACATCCTAAAGTGCACTTTAATCATGAACGTATCTACGTTCATCAATATATATAAAATTCACCTGTCACGATGTTAGTTACCATACTGCTTCGAAATGGTTAGACCGATTTTCATGAAATTTTATATGCATATTCAGTAGGTTTTATATAGGCTTATATATATTTTTTTAATCCCGGGCGGACGCAGTCGCTGGCGACAGCTAGTCAACATATACATATTAATAAAGTTGGAGTGTATGTATATCGTATCAAGAAAAAATAAACAAGGTTCGTACACGTGATGTACTTGTGTTGTTGATAACGAAAAGCCAATTTTTAAAATGTTTGTCTGTATGTCTGTCCGCAAGGCTGCGTTTGTTCCGCGCAATCTCCGGAACCGCTGGACCGATTTTGACAAAACTTAAACGGGAAGGAAGCTGATGCGCGGGGGCATACATATTAAAGGCTACTTTTTTATTCTGCGCTAACGAAGTCGTGAGAGACCACTTGTATAAATATAATAAAATCATGTTATTCAACTATAAATTTTTCAATGAATAAGATTTTTTGAAGTCTACTAATTTTATTTTTATTAAATTTAAGTCACAGCAGTGTTCTTATTTATCGATAACTCAGCCTTCAAAATTGTGTTTGTAATTTATATGGAATTTAATTGATTTCCGGTCTCACAGCTCTCAAAGGCTGGTAAAATAAATAATGTACTCGGATGATAGGTGGCGGTTTCTTTGTGGTCAGTTTAACTGGAAAAAAGCCTACGCTATATAGGTGATTATTTTGATCTACAAAAGAACTTGCCAATAAAAAAAGCTAGTGCTAATTTAATAAATTTTGCGATACGAGAACACTTTTGTTAATATATTTGATATTCTTTTTGAAGACTTATAAAAGCAGGATAAATACACAATAAATACAATCTAACCAAAAACGTTGACCTTAAACAGTCTAAAAAGTTTCAAGTTTTTGCTTATGAAGATGGTGAATTTATCTCACATTTGTATTTATTCGAATTTAATTTGCATTAAATACAAAAAGTACATCAATCGAGCATTTAATGAATACTTAACTCCTTAGATACAGTCTCTTTGTGATCACGGTGATACAAAACAACAAATTAACGAATAAATTTAACCTAAGTAAGACTGCGTTTAAAAAAACGCTTTATCCATAACACCAGAGACAAGACAATTTTATTTATCGCTTGCTGTATCATAGACAAACTTAGATAATAGGGGAAACATTTTTTAAGCTTCAGACTTCTTTTGAGAAAGTGCCAATTTAAAGGAGGCCTATTATTAAAGCACGTCATTTGTAGCACTATAAATATGAAATTACTTAAAATATAATTATAATAGATGGAGAGTCATTTATGTATGTTGTGGATATACATCAAAATATCTCGTTATTTGTGTGCAAGAAGATTTTATCTTACAAATATTATAAACACGAATGTATGGATGTATGAATGGGGGGAATGTTTGTTAGAAGGCATCACTAGAACGTCTTCATTGTTCTCTGACATTTTGAATAGATGTAGAAGATATTTTGGATAAACACGTAAGCTACTAAGTTCTTTTCTAATTCCGCGCGAAGGGAGTCGCGGGCGAAGGCTAT